AATTGGCTTAGTATTATGGTGGGAAGGATGATAATAGTCTGAGGCTCAATCACACGAAAATTAAGAGAGAGGAAAAAGTAGCCGTGTAAATAGCCATGATAAATAAATACAAAAAAAAATAATCATCAAAAAACGGTCGAGCCGTTTGGGTGGAAATTAACCACCAACACCGTGACACGAGATTTGTATATATTGGATTAGTTGTTTCATATCATTTTATAAAGACCAGCTCTGATTGAAATCCAAAAATGTAAAGGAATTTGAAAACCTTCTTCTCAACAGAAATCCAACCTCTTCTCCTCCATCATGACCTAATGCCAAATAAACAAGTTTTTAAGGTTAAAACAACAAAAGAAAAATTTGAACAAGTATTTGTTGCAAAAGTACTTCGTAGAATTTCGGAAATGTTAAATAAAATTCAACGAAATTCAATTGCAATTCCTTTTCACATTTCATTTTTATTTCAAAGTATTTAAAATATTTTCCTCGAAACAGTTTCATTTTTTCGGCCAACTTTAATATCATTTCTCCCAGTTCAGTAATCAATTCGTGGGCAGAGATTGCTTGAATAACATTCAATATATATCCATACGCTCGTCCTTCTGCTAACCCAACGAAAAACTGCCCTGAATTGTCAAATGACAATGGAAGGTCAATGCCTGCCACACAGACAGACACCGACGTGGCAGTCAGACAGCGAGCAGCCTGAGAACCATAAAAACTAACCAAGAATGAAGGGCCGACTTGTTGTAGCTGTTGTGAGTAGGTATTATAATAATAATAAAGGAAGCACCAACAACAATGAATAGGACAGGACGATAATAGAGGGTACACACAGAGGCCTGTGTCCACGGACGAATCCCCAGTGGTCGAGTCCAGTCATTCCCTAGCTTGGGGCAATGTTGTCCTGTTGTCTGGTCTACTGACTGGCCAACAAAAAGGAACAATTGAGAGAGGGAGAGTTCTCAGAGGTTAAAACATAGCTTAAAGATTCTTCGATCGAAGGCTATGCCAGAAGAGATACTTAAATTAGATTTAAAACAAGTAAACACACCTTTGTAGAGTGTCGGCACAACGAGTATATTATATTAAAATGCACATCACGTGCTTACTCTCAGATACAAGATACATCCCATGTCCCCCAGACTAAAAAAAAATCCTATGTGAGAGCCTGCGATTCGCCGCTTAGAACCGTTTCAGCTTATTAAACACATTCTGCCATTGATTGGGGACCCGCTGCCTTTCGCCTTGCGCCTTCGTCTAGGACTTGGATTTTTCTGGAAGATGTTGAGGGCAATTTCAGCGATAAACACGCACCCTCCCATCATCGTTAAAATCTCCTCCTTCCCGGAATCGATTCTGTTTATTACGCATACGGGGGCCTCGGTAAACATGTTTATGTTTTGACGGGGCGTGCAGAGGCACTTGATTGCCAATTTTTACATTTATTTTTTATTTTCCTCTCATTTTTCCAGAACAGCCATCAAACTGTCTCATAAATCGGATATGCATTTACAGAGGAAATGCAATAAGCTTCGAGGAGATTTACATGAAATGCATTTAAAAATGGCAGGGAATATGCCAAGTGGCTTGTGTCCTGCGAGTACTCCTCGGCACAGAGAGAGAAGGAGGATAAGCTAAATCTGCAAACTGAAGCAGCTGTGCTGCAAACGAGGCCTGCAACATAGGATATTCATTTATGATGAATGGTTATGAATGACTGAATGTAATCTCATAGATAGAAACTCTAGGAGTGTACGGGGGAGTGTTCTTTTGGCTAATGTGCCTCCTCCTTACCCATGGTCCTACGACCATTAACCAACAGCTTTTTACACCAGAGGCGAAATAAAGGCGAAAGCCAGGCTAGCGATAGCCCTTTTAGTAATCTTATACGCGCTCGTAATATTGAATAACTGACAAAACCAAAACGAAAGTTACGGGGGACGAAAAACATTCATCAAAGGAGAGAGCATGTCCTTGAAAATGCTAAACAGAACTGGCAAAAAAGAGCGCCCGAAAATGGAACGAAAAGTCAAGGAAAAGTGTGGGGGAAATTGGCCGGAACTTTTGAGGTTGCATGGGAGTTGAGTGTAGATAGACTGTCACACAGACTGAAAGATAACTTTGAAGACTAAGAGGTACAATTGTTAAGCAGTCTAACAAAAGACTAAGAAGCAGTCTGGAAGACCTACTGAGAGATAGCCTGGATGAAAGAATGAAAGACAGCCAAACTCTAAAACACATATTCATGTTTTCATGTCTGCTTAATTTCAATCGGGACTTTGTCCATAACATTTTCTTGCTCCAATGAGACCAAAACCAATCCGAAATCAATCAACAGCCAGATAATTGGGGAGCGGAATTCAATGGGATGTTTGCGAGACCGGGCAAGAGCTGCGTATGTGACGGGCAAGCAATCAATTGTAACCCAAAAGCTTAATCGATTTTCATCCAGGTACAGCCGCCGCAGCAGCAGCAACCACTCCTGCCAGTTCAACATCACAAACAGAGGGAAATCACTTGGTTTAATATGGAAACAAATTTTCATCCACGCCGAAACAAGAGAAATCTTATGTCCAAACACACACAAACACGCACAACCACGACCACAACACAATTGGCGGGCATTTCAAAAGAGAATTTGTATTGTTGCTGTAATATTTTCGATTTATTCTTTGTTTGTTTTTTTTTTTATCCGCTCGGGGGTATCATATCATAGTAATTCGGTTCCATTCGGTGGAGATTATTAAAAAGGTATTGCTGCCCCAAAGTCTCTGACTCTCTCCTTCTCTCACTCTCACTCTCACTCTCACTCTCTGAGAGATTGGTGGTGAAACAGTGACCAAAGTTTGTTCAGCCTTCAAAAATTGAAGGTACTCACTCGGTAAACCCAAAATTAATTTATTTTATTTACTTTTCATTATGGTGGGTTTTTTCTGTCTGTTTATTACGAATATAAACACATTTAAAGGGTATTACAATACAAACACATGTTTTAAGAGCAGACATTGAAGGTCCGCTTGTACTTTAACGCATTGAAAGTTTTCTTTGAGGTAATCTGAGCTCCATATTCAGGATCGGGTACGAGCTTTATTTAAATTTATTTCTTTCAAAATGTAATCAAACAATAGCTCTGGCAGGGTAACAGATGCTTCGGGGTACATACATACATAGTTGGCGATTATTTGTTGTGTAAAATTGTGGTCACATAATGTATGCCTCGATGGGGTACGGACCCAGCTAGAGAACCATAGAGCCCACTGATGATGAGAGACCCAAATGAACACCAAATATGCAATTAGCAAAAGTTGAGTTATTTGCCATAAATATTTGCGGACACAACAAAAGTAGCCAGCGACCGGAGGCGGGCCTCGTTTACACTCGCTGTGTGCTCATTGTTTGGTTGGCTTTGCATTTTCCCAATTTGTTTTGTGGATTATGCAATTTATTTAGTGTAACTTTGGCAAAGGCTGTAGGTGGAGGAAGTTCTGACTGGCCGATGATAAATTCCATGTCCGCACGTAATATGGAAATTAAAACGAAAAGCGGACAAAGCGCAGTCCGCCAAAGGGACAAGGGTCGACCTCCCTTCTGTGTATATCAAAAGGCATGCAACATTGATTTAATTGCTCGGGTCAGTCCTGACTCAAGTCACAAGGGTCTGAAAGTGTTTTGGCAAAGGTAAAGGTTGCCTAGAGGCAATGAAAGTTAGTCCCAGTCTCAGCAGAGGGAAATACCACAGAGAATAATGTCGAATATTTGCTTTCATGATCTTTTTTCAGGCTATATTCTAAAGACTAGACCTTAGGAATTCTCGAGGACAACTAATTATGAGAGGAATCAGGAAATAATTTGGTCAGAAATGTCTGCTTATCACCAAAAAGGAAGCAGGAGAGCACAACAGAAAATGACACGTATAAAAACACATCGGGAGGATGTAATACCCGAGACGAACTGCAAAATGTGTTCGTGCAGAGACGGGCTTCCCTTTCCCCCGCACGAAATCTGCTGCTTCAGTTTCTGCCCTAAATAGGGACCTTAGCGTTTTCCCTTCCTTCGCGGAGTGGCAAAGTGTAACTAAAAACTGGCAGACTCCTCCAAAAGCAGCTTCCGTTTGCCTACGTTTCGAGTTGAAAATGAGCGTGTAATTAGAAATGTAAGGAGCGGGAAAAAAAAGGGAAGGAGAGAGGAGGAAAAGCGAGAAGAGATGGTAAAACGGAAAGCGAAAAAGTAGCGGCAACAGTTCAAAAGTCGCAACTGCGTCTCGTCCTCAGGAAATGTGCACACGCAAAAGAAAATTACAAATGAAAATGAAATAAAATGGCGCAAATGCAAAAAACACATACACACAGACAAACTTATATACTCCTGCACATTTGCTGCTACCCTCCACACCGCCTCACCCACAATGAGCCGCATAAAAAGTTATGTATAAAAATCTTTTGCTACTTTTCGCTTGCATTTCCGTTACAAGGCAAACTGAAACGGAATTTGCATGTGACATTTGCGGTTGGGGTATTTCTGTTTCTGGTGATGGTGATGGAGACGGAGATGGTGGAGATACACGCCACGCGGCGAACAGGGGCGGGATTGGGATTGTGCTGCCACTGGCTACGTGAGTTAATAGAGCAAAAGTTAAGCTCTGGTAGCGGGCTAAATGAGCCACAGACATTGAAAAGACTTCCAGCATCCTCACGTCTCTGGTTTTTTTGTTTTTGGCTTGTAGTTTTGCTGAAACTTGGACAGAGAGAGGGAGCCGTGGTGTAGGGGGTATGATTGTTCTGCGAAATTGAAAACTCTGGGTAATTAGGAAAAGTTTCATCATTTTCGAATAAAAAGAGAAAGAATAATTTATACCTTTGCAATGACATGAGTGAGTTACATGCACAATAACATATGAGCATCGAATTAATGTGTTTACTGGAAAGGCCATGCGAATAGTAATCATTCCCTATATGTATCAATACTTGCATACATATATCCCCTCAAAAATAACTCACCAAATATCGTTTCCCACTGCTGTTCGTTGATCGTATTTCGTTTTCTTTGGGGACGAAAATGTTTGGGGAATGCCAATTAAGTTGTTTGCAATTCAACGACCAAACATTGAATTCAGTACGAATAAAGCTATATTTGTCCGTGGTTTTTTTTTTGGATATTTGTTTAATTTCCGTCGCAGAATGGCACTATTTACTCAACTTATTTATTTATTAATAAATACATATATATGTGTGTGTATGTTTTTATGTATGGTGTTTTACGCGATATCATTACACATTGCATTAGGCACTACATTAATTCCTGATATTTTTTGTTGCAATTATTTTTTTGTTGATGCTGTTTGCTGAATTAATTTATAAAATATTTAAAAATCGATGCGCCGCAAGCTTTTATTTTTGGTATTTCTGTTTCTGTTGTTTCTCGGCTACACTATAAATAATTGATGGCGTTTGTTTTGTATTTTGTTATTCATTTATTACTTTTGATAATACTCGTTTATTTTTTTTGCCAGCACGTCCTGAAAAACAGAACAGAAAATTGCATGGGGCTGATGTGGTGCCCGTTGCCCCATTCGATATCCCGCTTTTTGAGACCGTACTCCTGGTCACAACGAATTTTTGGACGCGCAACGGCGAGCCGTGCGATAATAAACATGCACAAAAACAATAAATTTCTACATTAAAACATTACAAACGGTGCATAAACAACAAACGCTGCAATTAGCAGCAGCAAAGAAATAAATTTTCATTTAAAAATCTCCCATACGCCTTGTGCAACGTGTGTGATAATTATGTGCGCTTGGCACGCAGGCAGGCTGACAAAAATCAGAAAATGTTCTTTAAATTCTTCCACTTCTCTTCTATGCTTTCATATCCCGGGAGTGTTGAAAGCGAAATGGCGCCACTAGGTCCAGGACCTTTGGGGGAAAGGACTTTTGTCAGGAAAAACAAAAGTCAACCAAGGGTGAGCACAGCTGAAAGCAGACTTTTGGCAGAAATTCGTACCCAAAATATGTGTTCGGATATATATGTATGTACATACATATACTCCTACCTAAAGTATCTAGAGATTGTACAGAAAAAGAAAAAGGAGATTCTGAAAAAAACAGAAAGTCAGCCAAAAACACAGGCAAACGCGAAAAAATCTGAAAGTCGAGCAGTTGATGAGTCCTGACTGGGCCAACAGCAGCGATGAAAATGGAGGGAAAAAAGCTTAAATGCTCACTGAAAAAAGTGCTAACCCGTCCAGATTAGATTGACTATAAGGGCAGGCACTAGGCTTTAATAATCGTAGATCAGAAATTGGCGATATATTCTTAAAAGAAAACGGAAAACTTGTTGCTCTAGCTGGTACCAAAATAATAATGTAGAAGAGATCTGGATGGGTCTTATACGAGAACATTTCGTGTTCTATAAAAAACATGATTCTTAGAAGTTTCCGCCATGCTTCCATTTAGTTAATTCTGCTCAGGTTCCTTAAGATGACCGCCAGATTATTGATTATTTTAGCATTTTGTTTTCAGGGAATCCATTCTTAATGTAATTTATTGGTTGGAGGTCAAGTTGTATGCCTAACAAAAACCCTAATCAGGCCAACAAATACAAATACAAAAAAATGGCAGCGAAAAGCATTTGTCATGCCTTCACTTCTGCTCACTCTCTCTGTCTTTCTTTTTTCCGCTAGACCCCGCTTTGTCTTCCTTTATTCTATTTCGCAAAAACTCAATGATGACTTGGCTTCTATACGCCTGACTGGATATATATTTTTTTTTTGCAATTTACACATGCCTACAAAAGAGGGAAACTCAACCTCAACCTCAGTCCCCTGCCTCCCTCTGCCTGCCTCCCGCTACAGTGACTGCGTCGTCTGTTTAATTTTCACAGACATCGCCTTCGCTTTCTCCCACACGCACAGACATCCAAACACACAGATACAGAGTGTTGACACCCACACACACAGACACACACACACACACACACACAGACGGACACTTCATAAAAAGGCAGCGCATGTGGCCATTATTTATGTATATTTTCACCTACATTTACTTTATTTATACGGTGGGACGACAGACGGAGGCTGGATGGAAAGCAAGGCCAAAAGAGATTGCTGTGGGAGCCGTAAAGATGAGGGAAAGCCTTAGAGAGACAGCAGGAGCAGAAGATGGGACACCGGAGCAGAGGACTCAGAGGAAGAGAGCTACAGAGAGAGGAACTGGAAATGCTCTTAACATATAGATTGCTTGTAGGTTGTACTTGTAGGCCCACTCGGTGAGTCAGTTTTTATATCCTTTCAGAAGGTAACCCTCATATGCAAGCCCATAAATCATAGTACATGTACATATATGTATGTATAATATATCTAGAGAACTTTTACCCCAGTTTTCACGATGTACAAATATATTATATATGTAGTATGATTTGGAACCGCCGAGATCGGACCACCATTTCATATGGTTGATATACAAAATTTAGTCAAATTTAATCAAATTTAATCAAATTCGAATTGGATACACAAGGGTATCAATAGCTTCGGCTATTTTGTTTGTGTTTTTGTTGTAAGCCTCAGCAGCATCATCTGTCCAACACTTCCCTCCCTTCCATCCATCAATCCCCACTTTGGACCGTAACTCAATAAAGCATAAATGTTAAAAAAACATAAAAACAGCAGCAACAAACACAAGAAAAACTAAAATGAAATAAAAAAACACATAAAAAACAGCATAAATATTAAGCTTGAGAGCGGTGGCTATGGAAGGAAAACAGCCCAAAACATCGACAGTCGTGAAGGCAGTTAAGACTTTTCCTATTTTCTGGCCGCTCTGTCCCGCTCCCTCCCCCATATACCACGTGGCGGATGAGTAATCTATGAAAATGAGTCACCAGAAGAAAAGAAAAAAGGTGAAAAATTGAATATCTATTGTACCCAAAATTAGCTTATCCTTTCGTCTACCTTTATTTTGAATAAAGTTTTAATTTTTCAAGAAAATCAAATTTCGTGTTTAAGTCAAAATATCAGTGTGAAAGGATAAGCATAAAACCTTATTTTTAGAGTAGGGATGCAGAACATCGTCATCCATAATAAGCAAATTACAGAGATACTCTGCCAGTCCCAGTGCCCCTCACCCCCTCATACAAGGCATTCGCTGTCACGCGTCATTTTCATACGAGTATATGGGGGGAGTATATCCTACAGTTGGGGGCATAAATATATAGAACACAATTTATATATGCATCTAGTTAAAGTTTTTTTTTTCTACTTTTCTACTTTTGGGCTCGTGGGTGGGTATCACAGGGCATGGCAGAGAATGGCAGGCACGTTCAGGATGATGCCTGCAATTGTCACGCCTTTTCTTCCTCTTACTGCTGCTCTTTCTCTCTATCCCTCTCTCTATACGTGTGTGTGAGATTATTTACATACATATCTACATATGTATGGGGGGTGGAGAGTACGCGGTTTGCCCTCGTTGCAAATGCAAAACAAAATAAAAAAAATGAGTAAGCCAAGCCAGATAAATAAAAAGAATACAAAAAGAGAGAAACACAGCGGAGAATAAGAAGCAACACTAGACAGAGACGAAAACTCACAAAAAGATGCAGAAGAAGAAGTCAATGCCAGTGGCAGGCAGGCCCTTCCTTTTTATCCATGCAAAATGGTCCTCGGCATGAATTTTAAATCTAAAAAAACTAGCTTAGAGCATCAGACTATAGGCGATCTAGGCTGATCACATCTTGTTAACTTATCAAACCAACTTACTGCCCATGAAGCTGTCCACGAATATCGCCTGGGACTACACTTTAAAGGATTTCTGAAAGATATGCTTAGTCAAGGATTTGACTCCATGGAACGGAGATGATGCACTTTTGACAGCTGCATATCACCATAATTTTTGGTCAAGCTAGGAAACCAAGCAATGTATGGATTTCTGTATGGATATATATGTACATATACATTTGTATAACTGTACATCCAATAATATTTTTATCAAATTGCATTATTATTTGGAAAGCAAATAGTTCACCTCCGACGCCAATAAAACGATCGATCTGCAAGAATTTTTAAATTTCCGGTACCCCGGGCCAGAGTTCTAAGTCAGCCTTTGTTTGGCATCTCTTGCTCTAGCTCCACCTCCACCCCTTCAACGGCAGTGCCAATTAATTGCACAAGTTTTTTTACTTAACATTTTTGTGCACCCCCAAAAGCAAACTAAAAGTGCAAAAGGAAACTTTTGCGTCCTCGGTTGCACATTTTTCATCTTTTTCCCGCTGTCGTCGGCGAGTTTCCAGATATGTTCAATAAAATATTAACGCAGCAGAGGAATTTTTAAAGCACTCCCAAAAACAAAGTCGAGCAAAGGAAATTGTGGCAAAATAGATCTGGGAAAGAGAAAACTTGAAGAAAATCAATAGCAAAATGTGGAGGAGTTTGGCAAAACTTTTGCAATGAAGTGGTTTTGGTTTCGTTTTTTTGTTTTCGGTTTTTTGTTTTTGTTTTTGTTTCTCTCAAGCAGACTCCAAAGCGCTCAAACTATTTTTTCGGTTATACGGGTATACTCGTACCTACGTAATGCGTATTACTATGAAATTGTAATAAATAAATAAATATAGAATACAAGATCAAAAAAGTCCTTTCTATCGCTAACATGGTGTACTATATGAGTGTACACGATGAGAATTGTATTTGGTACAGTATAGTGCCTGTTTAGCTTTCCTATGGAAAAACCAAGCTATCAGCGCCATTCTGCCACCCAGTTGGTGGGTCCCTCTCTAACCACAACGGGGTAATGAACTCAATGTGCGGGCCGTGCCCACAGGCTGAGGAGAAGCCCGTCGCAAGAGCGTGAGACAAAATCAAGGAGGTTATTGTCGACCCTGCCACGCCGAATTTTTTACTCACTTCTCAGATGGCTTGAGACTGCTAATGAAGAAACAATGGACAGAGCAGACAATTGAAGCTGCTGGAGCGAACGAATTTGGTAAGATAATTGCTGTCACGATTGCTGTAACGATCTTTTACAATCTGAAATAAGGAAATTTCCTAATACATATGCT